ACAAAGCAAATTTGATGCAATGAAATACTGCTCTGTGACTTTTTTTTGTGAAGACCCCAATGCAAACCATGCAGTCTAAGTCTTAATAATGTTCATATTCTACATGAAATGGCATGTCTTATGCACAGTGCTACACCCCCTGCTGACAGATGCAGCAGCAGCTAGCAGTGGCGTTATCCCTAAGACGAGCACCTGATGCTGGTGCAGTGACAGACTCTGGCAGCCGGTACATAAGGCATCAGCATTGTGGCCTGGGGCAGGAAGGCCATTCTACAGTATTTTAAATGGACTTCAATCTGGCTGCACATCAAATGTTTGATTATGAGTGGTGTCATGGTAAAGGGTGTAGAGAACCGCCAGATCACTGCCAGATGCTAATAAGAAATAGCAGAATGTGGAAAAAATGGGCCATGTTAGAGGTGAAAATAAACCTTATACAAAAATCTGCCAGTTTGAGATTTCATATATTGTACAGTTTTGGCATGGATACATATGGCATATTCTGTTCCTTTAATGCCGTTTCTTAGTGATCAAAATTTTATAAGAGTACTATCTATGCTTTAGCCTACAACGGTAATGGGCTTTTTATATCCATATAAACTGAAAATCAACACTAATAGACAGAGTTGGGGCATGCTGAGATCTGCTGTAGAATCTTTTTTTTTTTATTATTTACTGCATCTGTTCGATTCCAGGAATATCACTTTGGACATGTTCAACAGAAAACCCTGTTTTTCGAAATACTTTTATAATGGAAGTCTAATGGGCTGTATTATTGGTTATGTGTTACCAATATTTCCTGTTCTTCTCTCTGTACAGAGAAACATGACAAAATATTGCCCATGATAATCACAAACATTCTACAGACATGACACAGGCAGAATAGCTTTGCTGAATAGGTTTAAAAACTTGTGATTTTTTTTTTTTCTCTTTCTGGTTACTGTCTGTTTTCTCATAATCCCTGCAAACAATTACCTAAGCAGCTGAATTTAGTAGCAAACACTGACAGAGCAGCAGGAATAAAATGAAAGAATGTCCGTTATCATCTATAATACATTGTATCCTTGTTTGTTGCATAAATGTATATCATGGTAAATGATTATTGTGAAATTCTGAGAAAACACAGTTGTATGGTTTCCAGTCCATTTTATTCAGTCATGATATTTTCACTATTACTATGCTGAAGGTGAACCAAGGCTGAGATAATCTTTAGCTCAGCATCAGAATTTCATATTACGTATGTCTAAAGCATTATTGTTTAGAGTATATTAAACTTAAAATATTAAGCTTTTAATGGTCTTAACAACAAATCATTGGTCAGGAATTTAGCAAGAATTAAACAAATAGATAAAGGAACTTAGTATGGGATAGCTTTTCCTTTTGATTACTTTAAATGTTTAAGCCTTATGGCTCTTGATGGGCTGCATCAGGTGTAGCAGATAACCAAATACTGACTAATCTTTTAAGAAGAAAAAAAAAACATCCCAGAAGATACTTTTGTCAAATTTCATACACCCAGACATGTGTTTGAGTTTGAATTTAACATCAAACATTTTAATCATGATCATGATTTTCCCTTTGCGTACAAGAATTATATAAGTGAATATATACAAGATTATATAAGTGAGTTTCCCTGTTTCTAGCTTTTCCCCAAACAGTTCTCTGCAGCGAAAGTAAACGAGCAAACGGTGGCACAGGACGTCTCGGGGGTGCATTTGCTTCATTCTTGCTAATTTTCTCATCAATGATTTGTTGTTAAGACCATTAAAAGCTTAATATTTGCCATTTTGGGCTTGGCCCATTATTTTTTGCCCAGGAGTGTATTTCACAATGTAACACAAAGCTATTAGGTACTATATAAAGAAGTAGGATACAAACAATGGTAGTGTAACAGACATACAACATAATAGAAAAAGATATCTATAACATCTGTAACAGAATCACTTGGTGTCATTTGGTGTGTGGTACATTTTTGAGGGGGGTTATTGATGGATTATGATTATATTTAATCAGACTCATTTTTAAGAAGTTCAAATACGAAAAATACTTGTAAAAAATATCAGTAATCAGCTGGCAAAGATGGATGGTAATATGTATTGTTTTTAAAAATGACCCTATCTGCCTGTAGTGTCTTGCCTTAATTAACTTTACTGTCATTGCACAGAATGCAAGTGCTAGTACAACTAAATGCAGTTTAGCATCTAGTTAAATAGTGCATTAGTAGTAAAGTGCAGAGTAAGCAGATAGTAACTGAGATCTTTGATTTCCAATTTTTCAGGATAGTTTTCTTGACACTGGTTAGTGCTATCAGAAGTTCTCTGCTGCTTGGCTAAAGCTACTATGTCTATAAATAAATCAAAGATTTCTTTGAAGTAAGTGTGAAAAATAATGAAGCCAAGTGTTTCACTAAATATGAAGCGTTGACGCGCTATCCCACATTATCCTCGGCTCTGCAACACTCTCTTGCTGGAATCATGCTTGTCTCTCACATTTCTTCATGTTTGTGTTTGGCATTCAAACCAGAGCAAAATATCACACGATGCCCTTTGCATGTGCTATTCTCATTATTTCTGTTAGGTTTCACAGTTGGTGGCAATCTGCACCAAAGTGGCCTGTCAGTAAAATGTGAATAGCTGCTGTGAAAGGCCCTTTAGAATGTCAGGGTGGCCGTCTGGGTGATGGAGCTTAATTAAAATCAAGGTAGGGGGAGTAATCAATAGGACCACACATGCTCCTGGTCTGTTAGCTGCTCATTACTTGATCTTTTGTGAAAAATTCATCCATGGCCTGCTGGCAAACATTACACGGCCTGTGGAGCAGGCAACCTAATCCTATTGATTGACACACTGATTAAATACGCATCGTTTTGGGATCATCAGTACCAAGTGCATTGCTCAGACGGACTTCACCACAGAGATAAAAACACAGACAGTTTAATCCTGGGAAAGAGATTCAAACATGGAGCTGAAACCCTTAGATTCAAAAGAATAATAAGCCAGCTATTGGAACCAATCACTTCTTACAAATGGAGCTCATTTGAGCTATCAGAGAGAGGTACAGTGCAGACTGTGTGCCAACACTTCTGTGCTAAAATCATTTGTAGCACGTTATTAATGCTCAGGGAAAGGTTAAATGTACTCACAGTCTCTCCAGAGAGTGTAAGCCGAAGAAAGAGGCGTTTTTCACTGTTGAGATTTTGTTATTGCTGAGAATCCTGAAGGGGAAGAGAAAATGAGCATCAGCAAAATCATGCAAATTCATAAATAAAACATGACCATGTCATTTTTTCACCCACACTGTGTGATAAATCATCAGACTACCGTTTTTGCTACTAGACAAGATATTTATATGGATTTCTGAGCATGCTATAAATGTCTGAGGCACTGCTTATTGGAGTATTTATTACTACGTTTGGTAATGTAATGTAAGACACCTCAGATGAGCACATCCTGCACAAAACACCCTGCACTACCCCAATCTTAAAGAAAAAAGTTTTAAATTCAAACATTGTAAACTTAGTTATTGTGCAAAGTAATTAAAAGTAAATAGTGCAGTATAACAAATAAATAATAACAAAAATAAGATATAAAAAATGTATAAATGCTAATATACTAGGTCTAATATATTTAAAAATGAATTCACACACACAAAAAATCCTTCAATCCTTTCAAATTGCGCAAGGCTCATCATCTGTGATGGAGATTCCAAACTGCCATATTTTGGTTTTAAACTTTAATGACCATGCTATTTTCAAAATAGTTTAAAAAAAAATAGTAGTTAAAGTTTCTGTTAATGGTTTTGTTTTTTTGTTTTTTTTTTAAATGACTCAGTTATATCAGCTTCATAGTGAAGAACAGTTTCCAAAACCTAAAAAAAAAAATTCAAAAAAAAAAGAAAAATTAACAAATATTTCACATTTCTGTGCTCATTCATCAGGTCAAAACGTGATGTACATTATGTTAAGAAAGCAAACCTATGTACAGTTTGTCGCTGTTACTCGGTTGATGAAATGCTCTTACCTTTTACAAGCTACTTGACTTAAAAGTAGCAACCACCTCATTACGGGAAACGTAGTTACACTGATGGATTTGCTCTGACTCACACATTGTTAAAATTTGTAAATATTTCACTGAATAAGTGGTGTGCCACAGTGCTGAGCCAATTACCTAACTACACACACAGCTGTAGTTTACTTTTGGCAAGTCTATGCTGTCTTGATTTAGCCCTAAATATACACCTTTAGCCCTTTTCTGATGGGATTAAATTTACATGTGGACCTCTGAGAAAATAACAGACTCAATCATTGTTTTTTGCCCAACTCTACTGTGAGAATAAAACTCTGCTTAAAACTACACTCTCTAGATGTGATCTATGGTGTAGATCTGTACCTGGTAGAATAGTGCACTGACGTGGATTGGCATCCTATCCAGTGTGTGTCCCCTTTTAATTTATTTATTTACTTTTCTGTAGTTAGATTTCATTTGTCATAATTTTCATACTCATTGTTAAGTCAGTTTACCAATGGTGTAGGAAAGCTTGGGTTATAAAATGATGAGAGAAAGTAACAGATGTTTGGAGTGTCTACAGTAGGAGTGGGCAAAAATATCATATCACGATACTCAGACATTCTAATGATACACGATTGGTATCACAATATATGTATTTGCAACCAGCAAAACAGTAGTGCTGCATTTTAAAAAAAACCTGTGAAAAAACGTAGCTTAATAATACTTAAATTTAATGTGGAGTGGTAAAAATGATTAACAATGAAAATAAGGAAACATAATTTTTTTTTTTATTTTCCACATTTGTCTTCCCAATCGCAGTCACCTACCAAATCTCACCCACCAGCTAGCTCTTCACTATCATACAACATCTACCAAGTACTGTAATAATTGCATAGTATAAAATAACACATAATCCCATACGTTTGCTTATTTAGCTGATGCAGGATATAACTGTGCTGAAGGGTCTTACTCAAAGACCCAACCATGGTAGTTTGTTGGTGCTGGGATTCGAACACACAACCTTCTGATGTGTAACTCAAAGCCTTAACCACTGAGCCACCACATCAAGCTCAACCAGCCCTGATTCAATCACTTCTACTACTGAACGAACTCCAATACAAGACTGCATTGACTCAACGCAAGCTAGTTGAGCGAGTTGTGACTTTTTCTTGGAAAAGTGTATTGTAATATAATTTATCAAAAGACCAATGTTATATAGTCATATTGTTCAACTCTAGTCCACCGAGTCTTGTTTAAAGGGCAGTACACAAGATTTGCTACTGAGTGTTACGCAAGTGCTGCAAGAGAAGTTAGCTTCAGACTCAATTTGGACCAGATATCAATTTATGCTGTTCACAGAAGCAATTGCCATAACGTCCTGTACATTTTGACTCTGAACAGAAAACCTAATACCTACTTCCGTTAGTACACCGCTGCCTGAAATATTAACATTAAGTCGACAGAAAGAGAGACAAAAAGAACAGTGTTCACAAGGTCTGGAAGTTCTTGTTAAATCTGAGACAGGCTGTTACCTGCTGAGACACAGAGAGGATGATAGACAGACAAACTGAAGGACAGCCAGAAAGAAGACACTGAAGTGTGATAAATGTCATGCTTAGTCTCTCGCCCTTGTGCTCATTATTTCAGCAGTATAGTGAACAATTGCATTTTTGGACTTCACATCTGTAGGAATATTGATCACAGAGGTGAGACATTATATCATCCTGTCACCTGATGTGCTGCTCACTCAGGCGTGCTAGCATGCATCACTGTGTGTGTGTGTGTGTGTGTGGGTGTGTGTGTGTATGTATATGTCAGTGTGTGTGCGAAGGAGAGAAAGCCTGCTTTACATGCACTATGTGAACAAGAACTCCATCTCTACCCTACACACTGACACCAGAGCTAGCTCCTTCATCCTCCTCTTACCTCTCCCAAGGTCGGGCGCAGCTCTAGGGAAGCAGCTAACCGTGCATTGTGAGTGTGGAGCTGAATAAAGATTATAAGTTCCTATGCAGCACCTCTTACAAAACATATTTGTAAGCCGTTGAGAGAGCAAATACACAGATCAGTACCACATGTGGTCTATTAGCAACACAGGAGTGAACAAGGGTAAATGTGTTCAAGGCAGTTCACCTCCACTCCTGAGCACCCCAGAGAGAATAAATAAAAAATAACAAACAGAAGAAAAGGCAGCAAACAATAAACTCTCCAGATATGCTTTATGATGTACTTTTGACTCAGTACCTGGTAGATAAAGTTCCAACTTCAATGGTAAAGAACTCTTTAGGGAAGAAGAACTCTGGGAAAGGAAGTGCTTGGAGTGAGATTGTAGCATGGCACAGCTGTAATGTAAAGGGCAATGATCTTCTCTCAGAGGCTTTCTGCTGTCTGATGTCATGCCCGTGCTTTTGCATGCTTTCCCTCACACTCTATTATATTTTATCTGAAGCTTATCTGTCTGCTAGAAGAGAAGACGTTAGAACAGAGGTTCTCAAACCCTTTTCAGACCACCTTATAATTAGAGAATTGTAATTCAACTACTTTATGCCTCTTTAGGCAAATACATACCATCATAGTTATGTATTGGAGCCTTTCATTTATTCATTTATTTATTTATTCATTTATCACAAGGTACCAGGGTCACACAATCACACACTCATTCACACCTACGGGCAATTTAGCGTAGCCAATCCACCTACCCCCATGTTTTTGGAGGTGGGAGGAAACCAGAGAACCCAGTGAAAAACCACAAGGACACTTGCTGCACCAACATGCCAACCCTGTATTATACCCATATTACAAAAGTGTTGTTGCATGCCATGCTGGCTTACTGCATTACATGCATGCTTGCTAGGAGTAAGACAAGTCTATGGTTTAGGATGTCCTCTACTTTGTACTCTCTAGGCAAGCAGTTTTTGGAGGCATTACGCTCCAAATTACGTTATTATTACTTTATATTATATAATTACATATAATATAGGGCAGGAAGTTGCTGCAGCGGGTAGCATTGCCATCTCAGAGCTCCAGGGTCTTGAGTTCGAGCCTGAGCTCTGGTTACTGTCTGAGTGGATTTTTGCAGTACCAGGTTCTCCAGTTTCTTCCCATTTCCAAAAAAACATGCCGGGAGGTGAATTGGCTATGCTGCATTGCCCCTGCGTGTGAATGGGTGTGCATGGCGCACTGCGGTGTGTGTTCCCACTTTTTTAAATTGTAGTTAGATTTAATTTGTCATAATTTTCATACTTGTTCTCAAGTTCTTGAGCCTTAGAGTATAAAAATAACTTATTAACTTGCTAGAAAAGACAGGAGTCAGAGGACCCTGCTTGCCAGAACCATGGCATTAGTAAAAATTCACACACAAAAATACGCACATGCATCCAGGTGCTGGTGTCTTGTAACACATCATGGCCCAAGAATGGTACTGCTTGACTCATGTTTTCCTGCATCACCTCATCATGAGCACTATATGGTCATAACTAATGATTCAGAGCCTCCTCAGGTAACGTACACCTAATCCAATGCACTGTTTGCTCATTTACAGCTATTCAGCTTGGATCAGCTTTTTATGAAGAAAGGTTTCAAATACAGTTCAGAGATGTGTTAAAAAATTAAGTAAGGGCATATATTGTGTATTTAGTCAATTTGAAATGTGTTTAACCTCTTTCTGCTGTTCATTTGGGCATACAGTCTTTGGCTGGATAAGAGAAGAAGAGACTATCAAGATTTCTAACGAGTATGATTTCTACAATAAGTTCTAAAAAAAAATTATTTTTTTCTTGGAAATTTCAATAAAAGTCAGGTAAAGTTTAAATACCCCAACATAATATTTAAGTATAGTAACGAAGTATAATTGCTCAAGTATTTTCCAACCCTGCCTGGGAACGCTGGGTGTGAGGCAGGAATTCACCCTGGACAGGACACCAGTCCATTGTAGGGCGCCATGTACACACATATTAACAGACTCATTCACATCTATGAGCATTTAGTGATCTAATGCTGTGTTCAAGGCAAGGTTGCAGCTTGTAGTTCCCTGTCTCTAACCAGTAAAAGCTACAGAAAACGCCCCCTCAACTTGACATTTCAAATCATCAACTTAAGGTAGTCTTCTAAAATCAAAATAGCAAAATAAAACAAAATAAAAAAAAGCAATAAAATAAAACATCTAAATAATCTAAAATAATAAATATTTGAAGTTCACTATAGTACAACGGTATCAATAGCCACTCAGGCCTGTAATTGTAAAAAGTGTGGTTAAAGTAGCTTTTTATGATCGCAAACAAAAGCCATGCTTTCATGGATGCACCCATGTTTTTTTCCACTTCGCACGTCAAACATACCGAGGTGGGAAATGACGTCATTACAACTGCAAATTACTGCTTACAATGCACCAGGAATGCAGCACAATCATGTACTGTGCAGTACACCAAAATTATTTCTTTTTCAAAATCTAGAGATCAAACATGGGTTACAGGTCACTGCTCAATAGTAGTAGCTTGGCAGTGCTGGGATCTGAACCTCAAAACTGCCACTACTGGGCATGAATAAGACCCCTTAAGCATCAGTATGTCGAAGGGCAGTGTATTTAGCACTGGCTCTGTTCTCAGTGCTCAGTTGATTTCTGTGATTACATTTCAGACCAAGGAATGAAAGACCTTTGCAACTATGTTTTCTATGCCCTGCCTCTTCATACAACATCCTCAACAATTTATTCAGTTATTTTCTGGCCTTCTGAAATCACATAAATGTAATTTGTAATTTCTAAGCCTGTATAATATCTGTATGTCCAAGGTCGTATGAGTTCTTGTGTAGGTTAATATTTCCTCAATATGAAGGCAGACTGAATCTCTTGAATCTTCATTTATGCAGTGTGAAACTGAACAGGACCAAATATAAAAACAAACTGAAAATACCGATTTGCTCAAATTCACACATGGGTAAGAGTGTGAGAAGAGTTTGCATCTGCTTATCACACGTGTGTAATAAGAACTACAGATTAGATTCTATACTCTGTGTAAATATATATGTAATATTATGTAATATACTAGAGATGTATTGCTTGCAACTCCAACAGAACAGTAAAATAATATTATATAGCAATCAAATGGATGACTGGGTTAGTTTCCATAAAGTTGAGTTAGTAACCTCTCTCTCACTCTCAGACTAGAAAGCATGGCAGGAACAGAGGCTCTGTGTTTGTGCAAACTCAAGCGTGTGACTGCGTGCAGCACCGTGTCCATGGCTCCGTTTGGCCAGAGGAAGCTCAGCTGCTCCTCGACCCCTCATGCCTTTTCCAGGCCTCTGCACAACGTCCAGGAAATCGCAGGCAAAACATAATTGTACATTATGTAAACAGCACATGCCAAACATCCAGAGTGTCCTTCCAACTTTCTATTTACAATATCAATTATGCTCTCCCAGGATAAGCAGCTTTCAGAGACAGAGAGGCAGAGGACAAATCAAATATTGTCTCGCCGGGGCTGCCGGAGCAAATGGTCTATGTCATTGCACTCTGTGTTTCTCTGATCGCTTCCATCAGGAAGGGGTGCGCAATATACACACACACACACACAACTCTCTCATAGACATTCCCATATACAGTATGTAGCTGACAGTACAAAGAGGCCCCCTTTTAACTGTGAGTGTGTGTATGTGTGTGTCTGCGAGTTTTAGAGTATGCAGCAGCCTCTGTAGAGCCTTTATAGATTTGCCTGGTGTTGGTCTGGTTGGGTAAAACTAAGAGTCAAAGCTTAGACTTAATTCACACACTCCCTATTTCCTATCTCCAATTTCAGCAGTCCACAGCTGGCCAAACCCCTTGAGAAGCACTCTCAAAACAGCCTCGGGACATTCAGCCGTCCTACTGCATTATTATAGGGGTGGAAGAAATGAAAATAACCCACACTTCAGCCCTTGGTGGGCACAAGTCACACGGACCAAGTAGGGTAGAAATCAAGATTTGAACTATTACAAACATGCTGAGCGGACAGCCCAGTTCTTTCCAGCCTCAGCTCCAAACCCTGTGTTATTCTGTAATATCAGGTTTCTTGGAACGGCTAACCAGAATAA